CCTTCTGCCAGGTGATGAGGACAGCTCGTGGCCTGAGATATATGTGAACAGATGCTCCGTCTCACTGAACACAATAAATTACTTATAGCCTGCTTAGGCAAACAAGGAAATGCTCAGCGCAGGTTTGTGTAACACTGATGCGAACATCTGCTGATGTGACTTTTGAACTCTGCTGCTGTTCTCTGGCAGGTGACAGGTGACAAGAACCCTTATCACTTCACTTCGAGTTCAGCACAGCTGATTAAAATGTAGATCGAATAAAAGGAGCCCAGCCTCCCCCCAGTCTTTCTGAAACAACAAATATTTAAAATGGTTTTGGCTCAGTGCACAAGTCTACTTAATATAACCTTTTGCAGAAGCAGAAAAGAATAATTGAAGTTTAATAGGTAAAAAGAGTAAATTTTAACTCAAATTTTAAAGAGGCGATCAAAATAATTTTTAGACATCAACCAATGGGAAAGTGTTTTACTTTTTCTCGCTCCGTGCATTGACAAATGCTTGAGAGACGAGTCTGATAGAAATTACTTTAAGTGCCATAATCATATTGCAGGATTACTGTTCCCCTTCAATCAATGACAGGCCAGTGGAATTCTGAAATTCAGAAGCACCATCAAACTGCACTCGTTTACCAAGTTGATCCTTGAAAAATCAATCACATTTAAATGAACACAAACGAATTGATTAAATCGGACAAGGTTTCCACGTGTGCCCTGTAGCTGGTGGCTGATGATGGCTCGGGTGAGGGACCTCGGGGCTGCCGTGTCAGGTGTTAGTTCCCAAGGCCAGAGTGGAAAGGTGTCCCTCGGCCTTTTCCCAGAGACGCCTAGGAAACGTGAACCCTGGAGGGCTGCGGCTCTACCGGGGGCGGGTCTGTATGGCAACGGACACGACGCAGCAGTAGCAAAGCGAGAGAAGCAGAAAGCAGTCCGCGAGCCGACAGGCCTCTGTCCTCCGGAGTGGACCCTAGAAGACCAGGCGTGGGGGGGGGCGGGACGGGTGGCAGGCACGCCAACCTGCTGCAGGACTCTGGGAGAACGGGAGGCGGGAGGAAAGGGCCACACCCAACAACAATGGGACAACATTTCCACTCTAGGCTATGGAAATGACCAGGAGGACTAAATGAATTAAATTTAATCTCTGTGGAATCGGGATTCTAGGGGACAGACAACACAGATCTGAAAAGGGCAGGTCATGAATAACTAAGCTGTTAGAGTTTTTCTGTGATCTAGAAGTGGTTGTAATAAATACACACAGAGCATGCGTTAGGTTAATCTGGATTTTCAAAGGGGTTTTGATTTTGCTTCTCATAAAAGAATAAAAAATTGCAGGCAGGAGGCAGTCTTTTAATCCATTAATTTATGTACTGAAGATGGGGGAGAAATGCTCCAACTGGGGTGATGAAACAAGTGTCACAGGACCCTTCCTAATGTGTGTCAATGACCTACAGTAGATTCTAGTACAGCTAGTAAATTCTAAAAGCTTTCTCTTATTTGTGGTCTTTCATATGTTCCTCATTTAACATTAGCTGTAGTAGACAGTGAACTCATGGTGAGACCACTGTAAACTTTAAAACCCCTATTCAAATTCACCCTGGTAAAAACTCTTTTAAGGGCTCTAGTCCATTTGCTCTGATTTCTGATGAAATGCCCTCCACCTGGGTTAATGTGTACAGTGATCAGGAAAGCCTCCCCTCTGCTATTCCAGCTACACATGTAAACACAAAGACTGCTCCACGTGAGCTCCTTGAGCTGTCATTGGTCAGATCCTGATTGCATAGCCAAAGCCGTTGTGCCACATCCAGCAGCCCTACATAGGGGCATTGCAGAGCTTCTCAGCAGGCAATAAAAGCCTTACAAAAATGCACTGCCTCTAAAAAAACACCTGAAAGTACTTTCCCCACAGGAAGCAAGCATTTTACACTTACACTTAAACTTCTAAAAAGCAGATGACACAATGATTGGAGCAGATCAGATGAATTCTGAATATCTTCAAAAAGACCAGAAATGCTGGAAACAACAGTTTGTGCGAAATGTATACAAACCTTACTCTGAGGTCTTAGAAATTATTGAAGTTGGAAATTAAAGAAAATGTTGTTACTGCGCAAAAATAAAAGAGGAAATAACATCTTCAGATATACTCTGATTTATTTTAACATGGTACCCTGATTCCTTTGTTGCGCATTACAGGCAATTTGATCCCACTCGTGGTCGTTAAATACAAAAGGTGAGCATTTAAAACAACAGGCTGTTCCAATAAAGCACCTCCAGAGGTGGGGATCTAAAATAGTACCACAAATTGCCTTGGGATAGAAGCTGCAAATTAGGAGAGGTGGGGGAGGACTGCTAAACACGATGCATCAGAAATCAAACACCACTTTGTGAAGAAATTACTTAACTGAATGGGTCTCCGCAAGTCTCAAGTGGCCTTGCAGCTTCTGTGCATAAGCTGATAAACTGTCAACACGGTGCCTTCCATTTTTTCTAACTGCATGTAAACTCCAGTTAATTTTAATTAATTATGTTGCCCGTTAATATGTTGGTACAGTTGAGGTTTTTGCAATTGCTTTCCATGTAGAAAACTGGGGAATTCATTTGACTCTTTAAAACAATGGTCATCTCTCTTTGTTGACTTGCAGAGTATGGTTTTTCTTTTTGGCTTCATTCTTACTATCATGACAGATAACCTGATAGTGTCAAAAACAGTATGATGAGTATGCATACATTAATCACAGATATTGCAACTTTTTATTTAAATGCTATATTTACACACATTTACATATTTACGTGAAAATACAACCAAATGTTTCTTATATAGACCTTAACCATTAGTTGAATGTTGACTTTGCAACATACATTCTTTACAATGAACATGTATACTTATTTTATCTTGATTTGCTAACTATTATGTACTAACTGATTTGGTTTTGTTTGTGTTGCTCTAAATTGTATATTTGAACTGCATATTTTGTCTAGTCATTTCATATTCTCAATGTAAGTAACAGGATAAGTGCTTCAGCTAAATTATAATATAGTTTTACACGTTCTCACACCTATCCAGGAAATGTGATTTCAAAAATATACTGTACATCTACTACAGAAATCCTACTGAACATTCTCTTTACATCAACCTCATTCAGTAATAAAAGCACAATACAATACTTTCTGAAAGAACGATTGAGACTGATATCTTCACAGAATCTGAGTCCTTCCTTCCCGTCTTCTGGAGCGGGGCAGTATGGTAGCCTGATATACTGAACTGCATTCCTTACAAATATCCAATCCGTCGGCAGATACCACGAGCCAAGCCAGACACCTACAAGGGTCTCACCCTTTCCTCTTTAAGAAACTAAATTAGAGATAAAATGAGACTATGCCATCTCCTGGGACATTTTAACAGTGTTCTAGGAATCTCACTTTCAATGGCACTTTTCCAGTGCAGGGTGAATCCAGCTGCAGGGGTGAGGTGGGAAGGGATGTCTCATCCATCTGAACATGACTGGCAGAGCTGTGGATTAAGGGCTGTGTGAGCAGCTTCCAACCCCCAGCTACAGTAAATTAATACACTGAAACAAATAAATCCTGGTTTGACCAGACCCCCATCCCCCACCACATGGGGGGACTGCTGGCTGTTCCCGACCTATTCAAGAAGATCACAAGAATCGCTTAGAAAAGGTGGCTTCAGTAGCCCTGACATATTAAATTAGCAATATTGTGTGTTTTCTTTTCTTTAAACCTAAATCAAATTCAAACCAGCTGCAAAATGTGCACAGATTGGCCATTGAAAGAAAGCATTCTTTTCCTGTGTGCCTGTGCAGAGTATTTTAAGTATGGTCTGACTAGACCCTTCCTGCCGTCTAACATAAATTTGCCATCATGGACAAAATCCAAGCAACAGTGCACTGAAGGTTTGCTCCAGAGTGGGAACTCGAGAGAGTATCAGCAGCATCACTAAGGCAGGAGGCAATGGTGCTCTGTGGATCCTTACAGCTGAGCTCAGCTACCTGCTTGCTAGAGCTTTATTTGTTGATGAAATCAGTCACTTTAAAAGGAGATCGTCTGAAAGTTTATTTTAAATAACACAACCCTGTTGGATGTTTTGATGTAAGTCATCCTCTGCTAATAAGAATATGCCCTCCAAAGAGTTTGATTACCAAATGAATACAATATTGTTGCATTGCAAACAGCAGCATGAATGTTTGTCATGTGTGGTGAGTAACCTTTTGTCTTCATCTGGCAATGCTAATGCGGTGCAGGGGATCTAATGTGTATGTTCTCACTCCTTGTGGTTGCTTTCCTGGGAAAATATCAATGGGAATCCATCCCCAGAAGCCAGTGGTCATGAATGGCAAGTTAAGGTTCTTTTCCCCATTAAGATACAAACAACAGGTGTGGCATCAGCCTTGAGCAAACCATTAACCTTTCGTCTTGAGCCAGGTCACAGAACTCTATAATGTTCCAGCTGCTGGGGGAGAATTGGGACCCACTGCAAGAACTACAGCCTGTGGGTGCCGAACCACAGCAACTTGTGCTTCATTCCTTGTTTTATACGAGACTGCTAACAGAATACAATTGGGTGTGAAATTAATGTGATGAGACAGACTCGCCCATATTTTCCCCTACTTTTGAATGTGTATCGTAGTAGAATTGTAATTGCAAAAACAGCAAATGCACTTGAAATCCACGCTTGTAGACAATGTATACATTACCAGCTGAGTAAATTCAGCTGTTTATAAGAAAAGAGAGAGAAAAAAATATCACACAATGCTATCTTTTAACCCCTGAAGCTAATTGTAGTGTTGCTCTCCCGGGTTAGGTGGATGGTTTTCTTTCTTTGCCGGAGCATCTGAGCTCTGTCTTGCTTAGCGCGCGTTGACATTTGCAATCTGTTTCCATAATCCTCCTCCCCCTCCTCCGGGGACTTTTGTTATGAAAGTGAGATTTCGTCTTTTTCCTCCTCGTGGTGACGTCACGGGTGCCCGTGAAACTGACAGGCCACCTGTGGGACGATCTGGGCTTTAAAGAGGCAGGCTCTGGCTAAAATTGGAACCTTGGCTTTTGTTTCAGCGCAAGACATAAAGACGGGCTGTCATCTCCAGCACAGGTTTCTGGCTGGGAACGGCCGACAGGGATCACAGGAGCAAACAGCGGCGAGGTCTTCGGAAAGAGACGGAACCCTCCTGCATTTTTTTATACACAGGGAGTGAGAGTGAGGGGGGAGGCCAGGAAAGAGACAGGGGATGGGGAGTGTGTGTGTGGGGGGGGGGCAGACTGATGTGTCAACTTAACATCAGCTTCTTGCAAACCAGGCAGGACAAACCCGACATCATCGCATTTCATAAACAGTCCCGAAGAGAACAGCAGTGGCGGCGTTTGTAGGCTTTAGAACAAATACCATTTCGAACAGCAAACCAAAATTAAGAGCTTATCGTGTTGGAAGGTAAGTTAATATTTTCTATTCTTATCGTCACCAGCCTGTATGAATGTACCGACTGCATACTGGAGTTTCACAGAACAGCACGGACAACGATGGTGTTAAATGATATTCTATGGTGTCTAATACAAATCCTTAAAAACACTATCGATGTTCTCTTTATAACAAAAGAAACAGCAGTTCCGAAAGAGCTGTTGGGCGTCCCGCAAGTTAAGCATATCTAGGGTGCTGGTCAGAGCAACAGGTTGAAATCTGGTGTGGATTCAGCTTCCAAGAAGTCAAGCCATTTACTGAAAATTAGTGCAATTATAGACTACTATCGTCCCTTTCACTGTTCGTGTTGATGCAGTGGTATTATTAACGATATAACTGTATTTTGGATACTTACATTGAGATCTGTCTGTGTAGCAATGGTCAATGAGGGGTGAATTCAAGGTGATGTCCTGCATTCTGAAGTTTATTTTTAATTAGCTTCGCTATTGAGAAAGATTTATCCGACTTCTGACCTTGTAAACTAACCCCCCACCCCCTCGAAACTCCCCATCTGCTTGCGCGCCTCCCATTAGACATAATCTCATTCATTCCGTGACATTGTGATCAATGTGATCAACTATTGATTATAAGAAAAGCGCCCCTCGACGAAACATCATTTTACTGGGGTTATGCTTGCTGAAAGACAGTAATTTGATTTGAAAAGCATTTTATTATAGTTACCCCTGACAAATGCAATACTGCGCCAATCGGACGTATTCTAGTATGTCTTGAGACATAAAGCACCCGTATGCAGTGTGCCTAGTGTTCTGTGTATTCCCGCTGATACAGCCATAACGGTTATCTAGACTGAATCGTGAGATGTGTGGCATATAGTATTTGTCAACACTATTGACTTAACTCTATAATATAAATATTATATTGTAACCCAAGGGCTCACACCTGTTTATATATGACGAAGATGGGCACAAACACTTTTCCTGCCACCTTCAAAGGTTCTATATAGGGTCGTGTGTCTTCACGGATGAGGGATTTTTCATTTTCTGGGTCAGTTAGCGCTTGCATTGTTAAAGGTGTGAATAATTTAGACTGTGGTTAGGTTTATCTTGTTCGTTTTCTTGACTATTTTAGGGCAGCTTGAATAGTTACCAACCCGGTGTCAAGGCACGGCTCCTAAACCCAGCGCTCCGAGCAATACCCAGCTGCCCGCCTCGCTCAGCTGGCTACTCATTTCATAACGACACAGAGGTTCTTGGAATAAAATTCAAGCGAGCATTTCGGCGCCCGGCCCTGGGCAATCAAATCAGGAAATTAATTTCTCCGCGAATCGATTACCAACTGGGGGTGAGCGCAACGTGCCCTGTTATCGTTTTTCAACTTTCCGCTCTTTCTGCAATTAGACGAACTCCTCTGTACCCCCACCGCTGTCCTTCAGCCGCTGCTGTATAGAAAAGACCGATGTGTCGCGCCGCCCCGGTCCGAGGGGTAATGAGTTAATTAGACACCTCCCAGGGCCGTATTCTTTTTCTTTAGAGACCTCACGGTCATTTATGATTTATTTATTATTACATCTACATCTACATAATGAGTTGGATACAAAGTATCGTTTTTTTTTTTTCCTTCAGAACACTTTTGACATTGAATTAGATTTATGTATGTTCCACTGGAGTTGGGATACTACTCTCATGTGGTACCTCTGAACGGTTATTCTTTATAAGGACGGGAGCTGATACTTCATTGAATTTCACACTTTGCGAATATTTTCTTGTTCGTAACAACATCTACAGTAACGACAACACATAATTGAAAGTTACTAGCTACGAGGCAACGTCTTCCACATACAATATTTTAATTTCACAAGGTTCATCTGCGGGAGGTGCTGTTTAACATACATCTAAGATACGACGCAGAACACACGAATGTAATCATGTTATCACTCTTCTTACAGTAACCAGGTCCAGAGAATCGCCCTTTTCGAATTGCCAGTCTCTGAGATCTTGGGCAAGACCTGTCCGATTATCTTCCAGAGATTTCGTAAGAAGCAGCTTTCGAGTCAATGATCAGCACCGCCGCTGTGGACAGCTCCCGTGACGGCCGCAGGACGCGACCCCCAGCTTACTGGTAACACTTGACCGCTGCCGCGTAATCCGCTCCCGGGGGGATTCAAACGAATAAATGGTTCATTTGCACCTGGATACCCCACCTACGCTGTCTTAAAATGGCACTGGCCCCCGCACACCACACGCCCTCCTCCCACAGCCCTGAAATCGGACAGCCAGAATCGGGGGCTCCGTGGGTGTTTTATTTTTTTTAAGTCACTCGCATACAGTACTTCTTGCGTTTTCGTATGGTGGTCGAAGTGGCCGCTTGAAAATAAAATGTCGG